CTCCGCGCTGGCAGCCATCCTCAGGGGGGAAGGCCCGGGGTCGCGTGCCTCATTCAGCACGCTGATTGGTCGCTGCCAGCGGAGAGCGCTTGTGAGTGGAGGGGCGACCGGCTAGTTGCCATTGGTCGGCATCCCTGAGGTACTTCAGATTTTGATTGGCGGAGAGGTCACTCCTGCTTGTTGATTGGCTAGAACGCAGGGCTGGGGTTTTTCCCCTTCCGGTGGGTGCTGACCTTGCCCGGGAGCGGAGTCTCAGGCTGTCCCGTCTCTCCGAGCCGCAGCCCGCAGCAATGGTGGCGGACTGGAGTCGTCTCCTCTCCCGGGTACCGGCCTCCTCCCGCGGCTTCTTCGCGATAGCTGTAACGGCCGGCAGGGAGGGCCTCGCTGGGAGGGCTAGCGGGGTGGCAGCGGTGCCTCTGGAGGGGCTTTTGGTTCTCACCTTCTTTTTCTCCCCACCTTTCTCTCCTGCGGTATTCCCAGTTACATCCGGTATTCCCAGATCTGCGCCCAGGCTGTCAGAGCAGCCATGAAGCCTCAGTACAAAGCGGAGGCAGAGCGGGTGGCAGTGGCTACTGTGAAAACTGTGAAACCCAAGAAGGAATAAAATGTGAGTGAATTGCCTGGGCGGGGGTGCCTCCTAGTTGCTTTTTGTCCGAGGAGTGCTGGGTTCCCAGGGTGAGTGGGATGATGACAGTCTGTAACTGCTTGGCCCGTTTCATGCTCCGTGGGGAAAAGCAGCTCAGGTCTTCACGTGTGGAACTGGAACCCGTCTGGTTTAGTCCAGACGTGTGCAGATGTCTGCGTCCTGGTTACACGTAGGTAGGAAACTGCTTCATCTCATTAGTTCACTGAAGGGAGATGTTCTCTGCAGCAAGCCCTGCTTTGAACAATTTGGGGTCTGGGCAAAGTCGTTATGGACTTAGGCAATCCAGCTGACTTTCTGCAGTGATGTTCATAGGTTTCCTCTCTTGCTCTCCCAAGGCAGCAGGCAGCCTGTCTGAAGGACTGTTTGCCCTAATCAGCAGACTCACTTGTGTGTTAACTTGTGTCTGTGAAAGATGGATGCTGCTGGGACCTTTGTGACGTTGCATACCTCACAAGCAGCTGAAATATCTTCTGCTCAAAGTAGAGCAGCTTCTGTTCCTGATCTGAGATTAGATACTGTTTCCTTTTGTTTGAAGCATGCCTTGTACATATTCTTGAAGCTAATAACTTGTATTTTACTTCTCTCATAGGAACTGATCTGTGGTGAATGTTGTGACAGCAAACTGCAAAGCTGTAGGCAAGCTCAGGACTCTGCAATAGAATGTCATCATGTTAACTTTGAAACTTGCCTCTATATGTAAAGCAGCATGCTAATAAATGTAGTTTCTGTTAAATTAATGTGTGGAAAGTGTTCCTCTTGAAACACAGTATTCCATTTTGCAGAGACGTGTTTCATTTGTGTTGAAATAAAAGACTGTTTTTATCACAGTCTACTGTTCAGTAGCAACATGTGTTTATTTTTAAGGCAAATCTCTTGTTGGATTTCGTGCTGATATTTCAGGTCCATCAATGAATAAGAGACTTAATTGTTTAAAACTTCTCAGCCTACTTCGTTTTGATGATTAATGATTACTTTGAAGAAAAGCTTTCTTCACTGAAACCTGTCAGCAGAGAATATAAGCATATAATTTTGATAAAGTTGGGTTTAAAATTCTCTGCCATCATGGTGGTTTGTGCTTAGAACAAAAATAACTCTGAAAATCCGTTTGCTTGAGGATTAGGGTTACACTTAGACAGGAAGCAGGGTCTTCCTCTGTGGATGTGTGGATGTGTCTCTCACCCCATGGTATCTCATCTCCAAAAACTAAGCAGTGAATGGGGAGTTGGAGACCTGGTGTCTTGTCAGAGGTGGAGAAGGAGGTGTAATAGTCCCTGGCATGTACTCTGATCACTCAACTATTGCTTATCCTTCTCATTACCACTTTGTCACTGTTCTGGGAGGGAGAGGGATGGACAATCACTGGGGAACGGGAGAGAGGGAGAGTGACACCATCCGCTTTGGGCTAGGGGTGCAAAGTCGCACTTCCAGCTATGCTGGTTCGAGGGAAGCATTTGCATATTCCTGCTGCTGTGCGTCTTCACAGCAGAAGCAATGACCCCCTGCACAGGAAGCATGCTTACAGAATTGATTGTTGTCTGTCAGATGTTTCAAGTATTAAAGTATTTCATAGAATGGTATGTAATTTTTATTTTAAAGAATAGTTTAAATACAGTGTTAAGTGGATGGCTGTGAGTGGATTTATCTTTTTTCCTGAAGTAAAGATGTGGTTTTGATTTAGCGATTGCCGTTAAACCTAACGAGCTGCAAACCATTCCATCCATTCTGCTGTACTGAATGATAGGAAGAAAATTTACAGTAGTACATGGGGGAAAAAAACACCACACCAAAGCTTTTTCACAGCGTTCGCAAGTTGGTATGCTAGGCTAACTCAATCTATAGTTCAAAATCAAACCAAACCACACGATGATAATAAATGCAAGCTCTGCAATAATATAAGCCTGTGTTGCTATGTGATAGAACTATTAAAATACATTTAAAAGACAAGTTAGAATGTGCATATTCAGTCTTTTGCCCCACATCCTGTCTGTGTCCCGCTCCCCTCAACTTCAGGAATTGACCTTGTCTACAGATCTAGCTCAAGTCTGTGGAGCATGTAATAAAACAGACACTGCCATTATAGGCCTTACCGATGTTCTTGTGTTCCCAAACTAGTGACAAGTTCACAAACAAACCATGGACTGTGTTTACCTGAGAATAAATAAGTCTGATTAGTTGATTGATAGCGTATTTTGCTGTTCCTTGTCATCCTGATATACACATGCACACACAAAGGCTGTGTATTACATTCAGTATCTGGTGATAATATTCCAAAAGTGAGTACATTTGCAAGAAAGACTGCTAAGAGACAACCTGTCTTCACAGTGGCTCGTTTTTTGGGAGAGATTCAGTGACAACAGTTGTTCAGGAGAGTAAAGCATAGCTGCCATTAATTCAATAGCTCTGTATTGTAACATTGGATATATTTTGGTCAGATGCAGTGAAAACATTCTGAAGAAAGGTGTTCTTTTCAGTAGGCAGATGAAGGCTACTGTTTCTTCTTCAGTGAGCGTCAACAGCTTTTTTGGAGAATGTTTTGATATGACCATTGTTTTTACGGCGCTTCCTTTTCTGGGCTAGCTCCCACTTCTACCTCTTCATATTCCTCAACATCTGCAGTGGCATCTTGGTACTGCTGGTACTCAGAGACAAGGTCATTGGTGTTACCTTCTGCTTCAGAGAACTCCATCTCATCCATACCTTCCCCAGTATACCAATGGAGAAATGCTTTTCTTCTGAACATAGCTGAGAACTGTTCGGAAACCCTGATGAAGAGCTCCTGAATGGCTGTGTTATTGCCGATAAAGGTAGCTGCCATCTTCAGTCCTCGCGGTGGTATGTCACACACTGCCACTTTGACATTATTAGGGATCCACTCCACAAAGTAGGAACTATTCTTGGTCTGGACAGCCAGCAGCTGCTCATCCACTTCTCTGGTAGACATTCGGCCTCTGAAGATGCATGCCACGGTCAAGTAACGTCCACGACGAGGGTCGCAGGCTGCCATCATGTTGCGTGCATCAAACATTTGTTGAGTAAGCTCTGGCACCGAGAGGGCTCTGTACTGCTGGCTACCTCGAGCTGTCAGTGGAGCAAAGCCTGGCATAAAGAAATGCAGGCGAGGAAAGGGCACCATGTTCACAGCCAGCTTCCTCAGATCTGCATTCAGCTGCCCAGGAAAACGGAGTGAGGTGGTGACACCGCTCATCGTTAGGGACACTAAGTGGTTGAGGTCACCGTAGGTGGGATTGGTGAGCTTTAAAGTTCTAAAACATATATCGTATAGAGCTTCATTGTCAATGCAAAAGGTTTCATCTGTATTCTCTATCAGTTGATGGATGGAGAGGATGGCGTTATATGGCTCAACGACTGTGTCAGATACTTTGGGTGAAGGCACAACACTGAAAGTGTTCATGATCCTGTCGGGATATTCTTCTCGGATTTTGTTGATGAGGAGTGTGCCCATACCTGAGCCTGTACCACCACCAAGCGAATGGATGAGCTGGAATCCCTGAAGACAGTCACAGCTCTCACATTCATTCCTGACCACATCCATGACGTTTTCGATCAGTTCAGCGCCTTCTGTGTAATGGCCCTTAGCCCAGTTGTTTCCAGCACCTGAATTACCTGTAAAGAGAATTACAGAAAGAACAGCCACCAAGTTAGTAAGAGAATTTTTCAAGGCTACAAAGATGGGAGTTAAAAGCCCATTTCTGGGACAGTAGACTCCAGCTAGTGTGCTGACAGCATGCTGTACATACCATGAATGAAGTTGTCAGGTCGAAAAAGTGGGCCTATTTTGCTAGACCGCACACTGTCCATCGTACCAGGTTCCAGGTCCACCAAGATAGAACGGGGCACGTATTTGTGAGCTAGGACAAGACAAAATGAGTGCAAACAATTACTGCTAGAAATCAGAGACAGGTTTATAATCTGCTCTGAAAAATCCAATCCATCTACAGTGATTTGGGAATTATTTTTTTACTATTATTAATTTTAACCTTCATGTTGGCTCTGCAAATTGCTCTGCCAACACCCTAACAGTGCTGAGCACTTACAGTAAGCCTCATTGAAGTACACGTTAATTCGTTCAAGCTGCAGTGATGCATCCCCACGGTAGTTTCCAGTGATGTCAATCCCATGCTCATCACTTATCACCTCCCAGAACTGGAAAAAAAAAAAGAAAGAGGTTCAATACACTGACAAAAGTTTATTTCTTTTCAGCACAACATGTTCAGCACCAGCTCTGCTACACCCATGCCTCACTGCACATAAAGTGGGACCTGTGCCTGAAGTGGGGGATGTTTTGCCATTTACGTATGTGATCAGAGTAGGGATCCTCCTCTCTCACCTCCTCAAATCATTTCAAGGGAAAAGTTTAGTAGAGCATTTATGCTGCTTAGCTATCACCCATGCACTACCAGATGGAGGCTCTCAATTTGTTCCCTTTATAGTAAAGGAAAATTAGTATTAGTTTAAATAACACAGGTACTAGTTGGTATGAGCTTAAAAAACCATTGAGAGGGTGTGTGGATTGGGGAGGGTTACTTTCAGGCCTGTCATGTACAAGTGGGATTGTGGTACGGCAAAGCTGGCTCAGAAATACTTGTATGTGAGCAATGCTTTCCACAAACAGATGTCAGTCCTAAACGTCCTATCTTGACATTCATATGGATGTCTTGTACTGGGGCTCTTATCTAGGCTGCAGCCACAGCAGGGTTAATGTAGACACACCCACCCACTATAATGACCAGGCTGTTTTAACTTTAAAGTTCTTCTGGTTTAGTATCCAGTCTTGTCTTGAGTGTACAAATACACCATTGCCAACATGTGCATTTTAGACAACACGGTGTTTTAGAGTGTGTGTGTGTGTGTGTTTGTGTGTGTGTGTGTTTGTGTGTGTGTGTGTGTGCGTGCACTTTTCTACAGGTCTTAGCAGACATAAGCAGTTTCCAGATCAA